GTACATGAGGGTATGATTATATCTTTATCGATGTAATTTGTAAATATGGTAATAAAATAATGGAGTTCTTAAAAAAAACATGTTTTTTTCAATAAAGGGTAGCACTTTTAATATATAAAAACATAATAGTTTATATCAGCAAAATTGACTCACTTTTCCCATGCAGTACTAACCAAAAATATCCTTTCTTAGAAAATGTTCACTTTTTCTAATTTTTTTTCAATGAGGTTTGAATACGGCAGTTAATTACTAGTGCAAACAGCTGCCTGTAGGGTGTCATTTCTGCTAATACTATTAAAATATGGATTATTAGCTAGTTTTTGTGCTATATTTATTGATATATCATGAAAAGAAAGTTGTTTAATTATATTTTTTAATGTAACTCACTAAAGCCTCATGACATGCATAGAAAAAGATGCTTGTGGAGAAAGGGTTACACAATGGATTACCCATATTATGCAACAGAGAGAACACTTTCTGTTGATAATTTTGTCTGCATTTATTATCCGAGTAGTTTATATGGTCCAAAATCCCAGAACCTTTGTACATTTTCAGTCCGGCCAGATAATTTATATATATGTGTGTGTGTGTCTTTCTGTAGCAGCCATTATGACAAAAAAGAAATGTGACCTTTCTTGGAAAGCCATAAACACTCAATCTTGTGGAATTAATACAACTTCCATTAGTTTTCTGAGTGTGTGAAATGTAGGAAAAGAACCGTGAATTATCACCCTGTCTCAGTTAGAACATGTTTACAAAGAGTTACAGTAAATCTGGTGGCCATTTTGTTTTCTATCATTTTGAGGACTTAAAATTATAAACTGAGTTGGGTATACAGCAGATTTTGATCCAGCAAGTCATATAGAAACTTTTGTATACCAAATTTTAATAAGTTATAAACTGAGTTGGGTATACAGCAGATTTTGATTCAGCAAGTCATATAGAAACTTTTGTATACCAAATTTTAATAAGTTATAAACTGAGTTGGGTATACAGCAGATTTTGATTCCAGGTCATATAGAAACTTTTGTTTACCAAATTTTAATAAGTTATAATGTGAGTTGGGTATTCAGCAGATTTTGATTCCAGGTCATATAGAAACTTTTGTTTACCAAATTTTAATAAGTTATAAACTGAGTTGGGTATACAGCAGATTTTGATTCAGCAAGTCATATAGAAACTTTTGTTTACCAAATTTTAATAAGTTATAATGAGAGTTGGGTATACAGCAGATTTTGATTTCAGGTCATATAGAAACTTTTGTTTACCAAATTTTAATAAGTTGTAAACAGTTGGGTATACAGCAGATTTTGATTCCAGGTCATATAGAAACTTTTGTATACCAAATTTTAACAAGTTATAATGAGAGCTCATTCTCAGATTTGGAACCAGATTAATTACATTTCTGCCACTGTAGGACGTGTTTAATAAAAACATTAAAACCTCAAGCAAATATGTTACAACAATGCTTTATTCAGTAACTGCTTAACACTTCTTGAATATATATAACTTTCAAGAAGTGTTAAGCAGTTATTGAATAAAGCAGTGTTGTAACATAAGGGTATGAAACTGTAGCTACATAAACAGTTAGGGTAACTAACTTATGAAGTGTAATGAAGTATAGAAACTCTTAGATACATCGTATAGCAGTAGCAGGTGGGAGATTGAAACAGTATAAAGGGTATAAAACTAGTTAATAAGTATTATGTGCATCATCAAAACTGTACAATAAGTATATAGCTAGGTAAACATGTAATATTGATGTGAAAGTAAAAAAAAAAAGTTTTAAACAGTTAATGTCAAAGAACATTACACTATATTAATTTAACCCTGCATATTGTTCTTTATTTATTTACATACAGAAAAGAAACATAAGAGCTTTATGATATACAGGAAACATAATGTTATTCATTTATTTTTACCATGTACTAAGTTCATTACTGTAAATTGTATGTGTTGTAGTCTCCATCTTGTAAGTTTCCCATTGGTATCTCCCCACCCCACATATATGGGCTAGTTATAAAGTTCTTGTGGAATAACCTGCTTTAAGACAAAATACACAGTGTCCGTAGTTGTACAGTATTTACCAACTCGATTATCGCAGTCGTCAAGATGATGTTGAAATGAGTATGATATGTTAAATAGATCTGGACATTTAGTGGTATTTTCTAATTGATTAATCAATGGCCCAAATAATTCATTACATTCAATTAATTGATTAGTACAGTGTCCTCAAGCCATGATACTTGTGTAAAAGAAAGAAAGAAAAAGTGGAAGCAGATGTGACCAGATAGTTGCTTCCCTTCTAATCAGGAGTTGAAGAAAAAAAAAGTTAGCAACAAGTGCTCTCAGCCAGTTGCCTTGTAAATATAGGATCTCTGTTAAGTGTTAAAGCATCTTCAAACACTAAGAACTTTGTCCACTTTGTAGAGATCATATAAGCAACAATAATAACCCTACTTGATACATTGAAAACTTTCAGTGGGTTAAACTTGGTCACTAATGTTCAAATCTTAGAAACTTAGAGCTTGAAAATGATACAGTTCTCAAATAATGTACTCGACTGAGAATCTTCACAATGCAGAACTTGCAACATTTTGTATCAACACAACTTATTTCCAACACGAAGAAAAACACTATCAACAAAAGGAAGGTGTAGCCATGGAAAATCTTGGAAGATGATACCCTGAAGGCATTTGCTTTAACTTTGATAAGTTGCCTACATTTCTCTGATTTGGGCTCCAACTACAGTGGAAAGGTAGGTGTCGTTAGACTGACTAGTCTTGAGAGAGAATAAGAACTGTTATACAGAAGATACGAAGAAGGAAGAAAACGCATCACTGCTGTACTCCTTCACAATGAATATCCCAAACAGCTGATAAAGAGAAACGTCAAGAGTAAACAGGAAGACGCACACAACTATATTCCCAATGTCGGTGTCTGAAAGCATTCAGAGAATATGCAAACATCACAAAGTCAGAACAGTATGCAGAATACACAATAGGGCTACAGTTGGCAACCACCAAACCACATAAGAAATAAATAAAGGAAACTCTTTCATCCATCTAATTGATAACACACTCAACATAGAAGTCAGCAAAACCTGGATGCCTTCTTGAAACCACTCGTATCATTGATTCAAATTCCAGTTGGCGCAAGCCTGGACAAGTGGATATCAAACCTACACTTCTAACAAGAAGATCTGGAATTGAATCTTTATTCCTTTCACGACGTATTGTAGTTTTCCCAGGATTCCCTTGAAAATAGCAGTTGAAATATAGAGTATAAAGTAATTATAACTAATCAGTGTTAACCACGATAATGAAATACATATCTGTTTACCATATTATCTAAAAATTGATAATCTTTCAAAATGTTGAGGAAGTGGCATTATTTACTGTTTTCAAGTTAATAATAGTAGTTATGAAACTTAATATTTTTGTATTTTTTTGTTAAGCTGGATCCTATGTATCCCTTACATTACTTGGGAAACCTTATGGCCCCAACAATAGGCTTTCTGGTGGTATTCAATCCAACAGTCTGGTGGCAAATCATGGCTATGGAGCACCAAATAAAGTATCGCCACCATTTGAGAGAATTACTGGACCACAGCCAGTTGATGTAAAACATTTTTACAGTTTTTTCTTGTTTAAGTTGTTTTGTGGACTGCTTACAAAGCATCATCTAGCTAATTTAACATGCACAATGGTTAGATGCAAGTTGATCACGATGCATAACTTAATAATCGTAAAGATAGGAGACATTAAGTCTTTAAAAAAAACATAGAGGAGATTAAGTAACTGTTATTAGTGACTTCAGTCATTATCTTATTGATGTTTCTCATTTGAAATGTATGCTGAAATTGTTTGGAAATTTTCATAACATATTAAATTTTAACCTAACAATCAAAATATTGATATTGTTTAAAAATAATTAAGTTTGTTAAAAATTATACAACGTCTAAATAACTGTGATATAATGAGAATTTTGTTTAGGCGTGAAGAAACATTCTAATGAGAAGCCCTCAAGTAGAAAATTATTTTGTCATAAATATTAATATACACAGAATTCTTGAAATTTCAGTATCTAAAGGAACCTCATAATTGGAACATTATTATCTATTATTAATTGAGAAATTTAATTATAAGTGATTATTTAAAGGTTTAAAGTGAATAAATCATAATTTCTAATACTTGCATAATTTATAATTTCCCACATTGTAATCTCTTGTTTTTTAAACGCTTATTGTTGTTAATTATAATGCTTTCCTTCCCATTGATGTGAAATTTGTTTAACTGATTTCTTATTTACTCTCATTATATTTAAACAAAAGGTTATGAAAATATAATTTCTGTTTTAGGCTGAAAAGCAACATCAGTTGAACAAAGAAAAAATTCATACGATTAAGAAAATGTTAGACAAGGAAGGGCGATACTTAGAGGTATGGTCTACTTTTTATCTTACTTGATAAAGCATACAAAATAATAATTGATTTGTAATGATTAAGTGCAGTATTTATATGTCAAATAAACGTAGGTAAAGTTTTGAGAGCAATCTTTCAAACTTTGAAAATATTAGTTTTGAGCCTAATCATTAAGCAGGCTAAAGTGTAATTTAATATTACGTAATCTTTCAATTATGAGATTTAAGCAATTTAGTCTAAACATTTATGTTTTCGTGTTATGATTTGTGTTCATTCTAGAATGAAAGAGGCATAATTTATATTTATTTCATAATTTTTTATGGTGGTTGCGAGATCGGTCAAATTTTTCAAACCCATACAGAGATTAATTACTGAAAGTAACAGATA